CTCATCTTTGGGCTGAGTTCAGCTCGTGGGCCATTGGTCCACAACCTCTGGTCTATAAAATGTCCAGGGCTGTTCTAGGCACCATGGGAGTTATTTGAGGTTAGAAAGCATTTCAAGGGCCTGTCTTACTTGGAGGACCACCCAGAGCTTGACACAGAGTACCAGATCCTGGGTCCCTCTCTGAATCCCCAAGCATTTGCATGTGAGCCCCCATTTCTAAAGAAGGCAACCTCAGTTCAGTAAGCAAGGCACAGTGACAGGGCTTTTTGGCAGCCCTTGTGGCACGACCAAGGGGAGCTGTGGAAAAACCCATGTCACCCTTAAATTTTCTGCCTTGTCCAGTGCTAGGTTTTAGGGCCAGTGCCCCAAAGGTCACTGCTGAATGCTGGCTAAATTAGAGTGTGCCCACAGGGTGTCCTGAGACCGAACCCTGCCCTGCAGAGATCTGAGTACAGCTGCAGCTCTCAAATCAGCCCACCTCCCCAGAGCAGGCCTGCGAGGATACAGTAATAACCATCATTCACCGCCTCTTGGTTCTCTTGACAGTTTTAAAGCATCTGGCTGGATCTCGTGGCCTTCCCCCTCAGACTCCCCCGTGTCTCTGCGAAGGCGTCCTGGAGTTACTCCCCAGAGCAGCGGTGGCGACGGCGGCAGCAGCAGCGGAGGGGAGCTGGGTGTCGGGGTGGGCATTAGATGTGGGAGGGGGGGGTGTGCTTGCTAGCTGGGCAGCAAAGCAACAGTGGACCTGCCCCAAGGCCACATGTGCCTGGTCAGGCTGGCTTCTGATGTTCAGTCCCCTGGGCCGGGACAGATTTTTTTTTAACGTCTTGAAACTTAAAACTCTGTGCTTGTAGGAGACTGTAACCTTTTTGTCTTTTTTTTTTTTTTTTTTTTTTAAACAAACAACCTCCACCTCCAGTGGCTGTGACTGGTCCCAGTGATTGTACCTTATTGGTCGCTGTGGGTCTGGGCGGGCCTGGAGCCAGAAGGCGACTACTGTTCCTCCCTGGAGCCACCACAGGTGGGGAGGGAGGGAGGTTTCAGACTCCAGGTCCTCTCCCTCGTTCTCTTATTTCCTTGGGCCAGTAGAAGCGGTGGAGACCCTCTGCCAGCTTCCTGAGCTCTGCCTGAAGATGGCCACCCAGCACTGGTTGGGGACAAGGGCTGAACTGGTGGCCACCAGCCACGCCTAGGAGCTGGGGCCTGAAAGCTAGGCAACCTCTGGCCGCAGGAGCCTCTTCGTGCCCTCCCAGCTGAGAGGGGCCGCTGTTTCGCCTTGTCTTTCAGTGCAGTGCCTGTGCTAGAGGTGGAGAGGTGAGTCCTCCAGAGCTTCCCGGCTGGGGCCTCCTGCCTGCTCTGGCTCCTCTGCTCCCACGCTCGCTGTACCTTTTCTTATTCGGGTGGATCCTCCCTCCCCTAATTAAAGTCTCTTTTTGCCCCTCTGGGGGTGCATGAGGTCTGTGCTCTCTGTGTATACCTGAAAAGCTGGGAGGTGAGGCTTTTTCTTCCCTAAAACCATCTGGCTGGCACTTGGGCCTGGGGGTCCCCACCAGAGACAGTTTTGCGATTGGCCCCTGGCGTTAGTCTTGCCCAGGGCCCTAACCCAAGAGACCTCTATTGCAGTCCAGGCTCCACCCATTTCTGAAACTGCTCTCTCTGCCTATATAGAGCTTTGGTCCTTTTCATGTAATGAGCTCATTTGGGCTAGAAGGTAACCTCAGAGAAATAATGATCCCATTTCATGGCTAAGGAAACTGAGGTTCCATGAGATGCAGCAGTCTGCCCCGAAATTCCCAGCTAGTGAGCAAGAGGGTAGAGTTCAAATCCAAGATTTCTGCCTTTACCTGTGCTGACAGTAATCACTAGCCACGTGTGTCTAATTGTTACAGTTAAAAAAGTTTAAAATCTACTGTCTCAGTCCTACCAGTGCTCAATAGCTACAAGTTGCTGATGCCTGCCGTGTCACAGGGTATGTAAATAGAACATTTCCATCATTGCAGAAAGTTCTCTTGGACAGCACTAAACCTTAGTGACACCTTGAAGTTAAGAAAAGAATGTCTTGAGTCCTGATTCTTACTGATGAATTTGAGCAAGTTATTTATAGTCTGTGCCTCAGTTTCTTAAAGTGGAGATAATGTAAATCTGATACAGTACCTGCCGTACAGGTACTGAATAAATAGTAACTGATCTTTCCACCAGCCCAGCATCCAAGCTGTTTGGTAACTTCCATTGTGCTGGATGTGGGGGATGACATCATCCCTGTCTCAGGGAGACTTGGGGGCCAGTAAAATGCCTGGGTGTGTAAATAGGTGCGTTGAATGAAGCATTATCAGATTCACTACTGGAGGTCTGGGGGGGGCCCACAGGGGGGTGTTTTTATGGAAGAGGATGTCAGGAAAAGTTTCAGAAGGGTTGACCTTTGAGCTGAGTTTTCAAGAGTTTCTTCCATGTGGCCAAAAGGGGGTCTCTTGAAACAGGACAAGGTACTGTTAAAGAAAGGATGGAGGGGCTGGGGGTGGGGGCAGCTTGGACAGCTGTCATCCCCTTTATGACATTACCTCTGTGACTCTCCCCCTCCTGCCTTGCAGAATTAGGTGTGCCCTTCTCTGGGGCATATGGCTGTATCCTAGCTTTGCAGTGAATGTTGCTCTCAAGAAGGTGCTCACAGTGAAGGTGGATGTCCAATAGAGTATGGTAGCTGCTCACTCAGCCCTCACAGGACAGCATTGCCTGGGTGAGCCAACCAGAACTCTCATTTGTCATAGATCCATCTCCCAGGGTTCAGAGCCCCTAAAACCAAATTTGCTGGTTGGTGAGTACAGACTGGATGGTTGCCAATCAGCCAGTCCTCTCCTGACGGCATGCCTTTTGGGAAGCCCAGTCACCAGCCACAGGGTTGGGAAGGGTGATTTCAGTGGTTAGGGTTGGCTGGACAGCTTTGTGGAGGACCCACCGTCACTGTATGAGCAGATCTACCAGTGAATTAAAAAGCTGGGTTCATGGACTTTGCTAGAGTTTGCCTCGCAGACTGTCCATTTGGTACTTGCATTACTGATAGGCAACCCTCTGAGTGATGACATGGACTTGTGTTTAATAGCATTTCTTTGTGTGTGTGTGTGTGTGTGTGTGTGTGTGTGTGTGTGTGTGTGTGTATGGTACGCGGGCCTCTCACTGTTGTGGCCTCTCTCGTTGCGGAGCACAGTCTCCGGACGCGCAGGATCAGCGGCCATGGCTCAGGGGCCCAGCCGCTCCGCGGCATGTGGGATCTTCCCGGACCGGGGCACGAACCTGTGTCTCCTGCATCGGTAGGCAGACTCTCAACCACTGCGCCACCAGGGAAGCCCTAATAGCATTTCTGTTTCAGAGTGGGGCTCTGGAGTCAGATCTGGGTTCCAATGCTGCCTCTGCTGTGCGATTTAAGGCAAATTATTTAACGTCTTGGAGCCTTATTTATCTCACCTGTGACATTTGAGGTTAACACTTTCCTGCTACTTCCAGAAAGGTTGCTTACAGCCTTGGCTTGAGGACTGTTGCATAACTTGTTTTTTCCGCAGTCGACACAAACAATGATACTTTATTTCCGAGGGGTTTTTTTTGGGGGGGGGCAGGGTGTGTTCTGCATTTCATTATTTTCCCCATAATACTGCCCTGGCTTTCAAATCTACCCCCAAGGACCTTACCCTAGCTCCATCTGCCAGGTCCTGCAGGTCTCACCAGGACACTGGCTTCGTTTTAGTTCCCCAGGAAGGTTCTTACTCTCTCAGCGCTGTTGCTGAGAATTTCCTCTCCCTGGAATGCTATTCCTCCCCTGGCAAACTCCTCAACACCTTTGCATTCTGTAGGCTTCAGCTTAAATGTCATCTCTTAAGAGAGGACATCCTTGATTACCTTATATAAAGTGTGCCCCCTTCCTAGTTTCAGTTCATTGCTTGTTCATTGCCCTTATCATACCTACACCTGTTTTATTCCTGTGTTGCTTGCTTTTTGTTTCCCCTTCACTTGGCTGTAAGCTCCGTGAAATCAGGGACCATCTCTAGGTTGTTCTTCCGGTCCCCAGCACCTAGCTCACCACGTAGCATGTGGTCCCCTATGAATACTGCGGAATAACTGAAGCCCCAGAAAGCGCTGGATAAAGAATCAGGACTCTGTTAGAAACTGGCGGACCAGTGAGTGCTCTGCGCTTCCAACTCCAGCGCCCTGTTCATTAAGGGTCTGGGGCAGGTGAGGCTCGGAGTTTGGCCTGCTGGAAGTAGTCCCACTGAACCAGCCACCCGAGGCCTGATTGTGCCGGGTGAATGGTTTCTAAGGCGACAAAAAACAGAGGGCGGGGCCTCAGAATGGAGGGCCCAGCTCGGGTACCGAAGGGCCCTCCTGCGAGACGCGGCTGCGCGCGGAGGGGAGGCGGGCTCTGGGGCCCTGGGAACGCGCGCGCGTGCGCGGCGAGGGGCGCACGCACGGCCCGGCGCGGCGCTGCTCCTGAGGGCGGGGGAGCTGGGGGCTGTACCCCGCGGCTCCACCGTCTGGTACCGCCAGGACGCGGGTCCCGTGTGCAGCTGGCCGCGAAAGCCGCTGCCGCCCGAGCCCTGCACCAGTCCCCCCGCCCCATGGCCCTGGGCGCGCCACTGCGAGTTCCAGCTTCCAGAGGAGGCTCCGGCTGGCGACCAACGCTGCGTCGGCAGCCCAGCCTCGGCGCTCCGCCTAGGCTGCGACCTCGAGTCCTCGGCCCACGGCAGCCACGCCCAGGGAGCCGCGGATCCCTGCCCGCCCTGGGCCCTCGCCCACCCCGGCCCAGGAGGACGACCCGCCGCAGGACGGTGAGGCCCTTTGCGGCCCGCCCCTCCTGGCCCGAGTCAGTTGGGGCCAGGACCAGAAGACTGGGGGTGGACGTGGGGATCCGGAGAAGAGCTGTAGAGGATGAGCATCCGGATGAAGAGTGGAGAGAGAGGAGGGGTGCCTACCCCAGCCCCACTGCGCATCTTTCTGCAGGTTCTCTTGTCCTTTGACGAGGATTCTCCAAGGCGTCTCAACACATGGGCCGGCTCAGAAACGCCAAGATCCACGTGGAGAGAGCTATCAAGGTCGGAGGGAGCTTGGGGGTCTAGAAAGGGCCTGGAGAGTGGCTCATCCTGCCTCCTTGCACTATTTTCTCCCATCCTTAGAAAACATACAAGAAAAAAATCCTTGATCCCACACCCATCTTCAAATACTTCCCCATTTTTCAATACCCCCTTCACAGCCAGACTTCTTGGCAGAATTGTCTACTCCACCTGGGATTCACTCCTCAGCTCCCACCACTCTGGTTCCCTGCCCTTCCCCACTGTCATCGGGAACCACTCTAGTCAAGGTCACTGGTGACCTCCAAGGAGCCAGATCCAGCAGCCAGCCCCTCTTCTGTCCTGACCTTGGTTTGGCACCTTAGGCACCGACCCCCCCCCCCCACATACCTTCCCTTTTGGCTGTCTGCACACTCCTAGTTCTCCTTTCTCCCTCCCTGGCAGCTACTTTTCAGTTGCCTTTGAAGACTTCTTGGGACACTCCTGGTTCCCTGGGTCCCTCTCCACACCTGTCTCCTTGGCCGTGAGTCCAGTCAGTGTGCTGTGCCCCCTCCATGCCCTTTCCAGCCCAGCCTGTCCTCTAACTGCACGCTCCAGAGATCCAACCCCCCACTTGACATCTCCGCCCAGGGAACATCAAAGCATTTCAGACCCATGTCCCAAACCATACTCTTGATTTTCCTGCCCAAACCTGTTCTCCTCCCTACTCTCTGATCTCCTCCATCTCCCAGTTGTTCAAGCCAGAAATCTGATCTTTCTGTTCCCTCACCCACACATCTAATCCCATCAGCAAAACTAGTCTCTATTTCCAAAACGAATCTCACCTCTATTGCCTTGTTCCCATCCATCTCCGCTGTAAGAACCTGCAGAAACCACAACAGCCTTCTGCCTCGTCTCCCTGCTTCCATCCTTGTCCCCTCCATCTGTTTTCCGTACGACAGCAAGCCAGCAAGCCACACTTACAGCCTCCAACTATGTCACTCCCTCCCTTCACTTTATTGCTTCATGCTACTCTTAATATAAAATTCAAGTTCGTTCCAAGGCCTGCAGGACCTTCTACAGTCTACTCCTACCTCTCAGGAGGTCTCCCCCTCATTTTCCACACTCCATTCACCCTGGCTTCCTTCCAGTTCCTCCCAACCTCTCCAGCCTCAAGACGTTTGCACATGCTTTTCCCTCTGCCTGAACTGCCATTTGCCGGGCTCTGCACATTCCTGGCTCCTTCTCAGCCTCCCCTGACTGTGTTTCTCTGGGTCCCCATTAAGATCCAGTTTCTCGAGCTCGCCAGCCTGGATGTAAATTCCTGCTCTTTCACTTAACCACTGTGTGGCCAAGCTACTCAATCTCTCTGTGTCTCTGTTTCATAACCAGTTAAGTGGTGATAATAGTATCTATTAAAAATACATATCATTGTTAGTAATGTATGTAAGTGATTAACACATAGAAGGTGCTCAGTGAATATTAGCAAATAAACATAGTTACTCTTGTGATGATTATTATGCAGATTGTTTTTCTGTTTATTTATAGCCTGTCTCTTCTACTGGAATATAAAAACTTCCTGAAGGCAGAGGCCATAGCTGTCTGGTTCACCATTATATCCCCTGTGACAGGCACTTAGGCTATACTTACTGAACAAGCATTCTTCTGTCACCTTGCAGCAGAAGAAGATTTTCATGATCCAAGGCTGCTACCCTGTGATCCGGTGGCTTTTGCGCCGGAGGGGCTGGGTGGAGAAGAAGGTGGTCCATCACTTGGGTACCACGCTGCCACCACCACACAAGGATCTGGGTGACAGTGACACCACTGAGGATGGTGAGCAATCCCTCCCTTTCCCCAAACTTCCTGAGTCCCATCCCTTTGGTTCCCGCTGTCCCAGGGTTGAGGCTGTGATATGGGCCTGTGGGGTGGGGACAGGGGCCTTACCAGGCCTGGTGTCTGCATCCACAGAGGACGAAGATGAGGATGAAGCATTCCGGCTACCACAGCTGTTCGACTTCGATGATTTACTGGAATTTGATGACCTGCATGGGACGCATGCTCTGATGGTGAGGGCCCAGGGGGCTGGACAGGGGTCTGCTTCGTTTGAGGGAGAGCACTAGAGTCCAGCCGGGTGACCCCAGACAAGTCCTTTCCTTCTCTGGGCCTCAGTTTCCCTATCTGTGGTAAAAACGGATTGGTTCTCTAAAGCCTAGGTAGGCCAGCGGAGTGGTGAGGGACACAGGCAAGGCTGGCCTGGGTTCAGAACCGTTTGCTAGGTTGTTATCAGGAGCCGGCACAACCTGCACGCCTGGTCATTTCCCCCTTCCAGATAAAAACCCCACAGTTCATCTTCCCCCGTCCCCAGCAAGGGAAGGCTAGCAGGAAGGGCTTACAACGTTTTGAAAGAGGCTGATACGATGTTGTGGAGGGTGTGTGTGCTGAGACGGGGACACTTGGCTTTCAATCTTGGCACCACCACTTACTGAGCTGAACTAGACCAAACTGCCGTTTTCATCTGTCAGGCGAGGTTGAGGACTGCCACTTCCATATGGCCCAACCTTGTGAGCCCTTGGACAAGTCCCTGTGCCTCAGTTCCCTCATCTGTGAAATGGGGATAATGGTAGCACCTACCTCATAGGGTCGTGGTGAGGATTAAATGAGATGACATGGCAAGCTTAGAACAGGGCCTGGCACACGGTGTTACAGGTTATCAATAATCCTACCTCCCAGAGTTGCAGGAAGGACGGAGAGAGGCGGAGCCCACGAGAGAGCCTTTGTCACATGCGGTGTGCCCATCAGCTTGGAGGCACAGTCATGCCACTGAGCAAGTCACTCATGGCCAAGAGCCAGAACAAGGTGTGGCGTTCAGGTGTGGGGCTTAGTCACTGCCTGGGGGCACCTGGCCAAAGGAGCTGCGAGCTCACCTGCTCTCTGCTCACGCAGTGTGTGCCCCGGAGGAAGAGATGTCTTTTCTTAATGTACACAAAGATGGCGTGTGGGCTAGAGGCCCCCTTGATAGCAACCTTTCCTTCCATTCACCCACCTTGCTCATCAGGGCGGGGAGAAGCCTCCTCGGGCCTTGTGCTGCCCACATTAGCCCCCCCGTCTCCTCCCCTCCCCACAGTCGCGCATGGTTCGGAACGAGATCCCCTACTTCATCTGGACCACTCGGCGGAACATGCTGGACTGTCGCTTCCTCTCCAAGGATCAAATGATAAACCACTATGCCCGGGCGGGCTCCTTTACCACAAAGGTGGGCTCTCCAGGGCGTGGGCATGGCAGCTTCTAACCCCCCCACCCTTGGGCCGGCAACCCCACTCCCTGTTCTCCTCGTCAGTAAGAGTTTTCAGGAGATGGGGAGGTATATGACTCAGTGGGATTCGGACACAGCTGGGTTCAAATCCAACCCCTGCAGCATGTCTGGCACATGTAGACATGTTGCCTAACATAGACTCCAGGATCCAAATGGGATCTGGAGACAGAACAAACACCATGTCCGGTGATAGTGAACAGGAGGACCCTTCTTTCCAAGCAGAGCATATCTGGCTGATGGATCCATTATATCTTAGCTGGGTTTATTAACAAGTGACTTCACCTCTCTGAGCCTCAGGTCCCCCATCTTTTTTTTAAAAATTTATTTATTTTTGGCTGCTTTGGGTCTTCGTTGCTGCACGGAGGCTTTCTCTAGTTGCGGCGAGTGGGACCTACTCTTTGTTGCGGTGCGCGGGCTTCTCATTGCGGTGGCTTCTCTCATTGCGGAGCACAGGCTCTAGGGGCGCGGGCTTCAGTAGTTGTGGCTCGCGGGCTCTAGAGCGCAGGCCCAGGAGTCGTGGCGCACGGGCTTAGTTGCTCCACGGCATGTGGGATCTTCCCTGGACCAGAGATTGAACCCGTGTCCCCTGCATTGGCAGGTGGATTCTTAACCACTGCGCCACCAGGGAAGCCCAGGTTCCTCATCTTTAAATGAGAATACCAGTAAGACCTATCTTCTCGGGTTATGGCAAGAATGATAGGCTTTATAACTGAGACCTGCTAGTATATTATTAGTGTGGACTGGGAGGATTCCTGGAGAAGGCAGGTATTTAAGGGTGTGAAAGAGTGGATGGGAAGGATGTGGGGCATACTCGGCGTAGGAACCACACAGGCAACACGGGGAGGTGGACATGAGTGGGTCAAGCCTAGCAAGTGGGGCAGAGGCTCTGAGCACGTCCAAGCAGGGTCCCCTTGAGCTGTCTGGGTGTGTGCCAAGTGTGGGGGCCCTTGGAGGCCCTCTGGGCCAGTCCCACCCTGCCCCCTCAGCGGCTAACTCCATAGGTGGGTCTGTGTCTCAATCTCCGGAATTTGCCATGGTTTGATGAGGCCGATGCCGACTCCTTCTTCCCGCGCTGCTACCGCCTGGGGGCTGAGGATGACAAAAAGGCCTTCATAGGTAAGGAGATGCCAGCCCCATGCCTGGACCCTCAAGCCGAAAGATGAGAGCTAAAGCCCTGGCTGGTTTTGGAGAGCAAAGGGCCCCTCTCCTCATGCCCTCATCTACCCCAGCAGATATCCTTCTCCATCCCCAATCCTTATCTTTCCCTAATGTGCCTCCCTTAATGAGCCTCCTGCCTTGGTCAACGCAGACCTCCAGAAGAGCTGATGTAGCTTAGCTTACTGTCTAGAGCAGGTTCTAAAAGTTGGTCGCTTGGTTGAGTTTGGAATCCAGATTAAGTTCCAACCTTGTGTCAGATTCCACTGGCTAGACTGGGTTCCAGACCTAGAAAAGGCTCTAGACTTCGGGATTCTCAGGCAGAGTAAGCTCCAACTCCAGCACATGCCCTAAAGTCAGGTCAGAATTTGGATCCAGATTAGATGCTAGGTTTAAATTAGTCTCCAAATCTGATATAGATTCTGGGCCAAGGTCTGGTTCTCAGGCTAGATAAGTATCAAAAGTGGATTAGGACATTGTAAATCAACTATACATCAATTAAAAAATAAAATTTAAAAAAAATCACCAAAAAAAAAAAAGTGGATCAGGAACAGAAGAGAGAAAGCAGACAGCAGATCCAGGCATGATTCTGAAGGTAGAGTATGAGCCAAGTCAGGTGATGTTCTGGGTCTGGTTCTACAGTTGAAATAGAAGCCAGGTTCTAATCCGGGTTCTAGAATCAGAAACAGTAGTCAGGTTCCGGATCCAAAATGGGGCAGGTCATGCTCAGGTTCCGGAACCAGAATAGGCCTGGAGCCTAGAGGCTGAGCAGGGTATCCCCTGCCCTGGGAGCAGAGGACTTCTGGCTGACAGCTGCCCGCAACGTTCTCAAGCTGGTGGTAAAGTCAGAATGGAAGTCATACTCTATCCAAGCAGAAGAGGCAGAGGCCCCAGGTAAGCACTGTGGTTACCTCCACCTCCCAGTCGCTTATCCTCCCACCCAGCCACACACCCATCCACCTGTTCATCCACGCATCTGTCTTTGTATTTTTCTCATCCATCTGCCCATCCACCACCCCTTCCTACCAGCCCATCCGTACATTTATCCACCCATCTGTCCACCCTTTGTCTATCCATCTGCCTACCTTCTCACCCACCCGACTCATGCACCTACCCGTTCATCCATCCATTCTTCTTCCCCCCCACTGTTGTTCTGTTCATTCACCTACTTCTCTCAGCTCCTCTCTCCCTATCCATCTAGCCACTCCACCTTCCTACCTATCTACCTATCTGTCCTTGTCTCTCCATCCATTTACCTCTTTTCCATCCAGCCATCCACCACCTATGTGTCCTCCGGCCCATCCACTCATCATTTTTCTGTCCCAACCACCTACCCAAGTGTCTTCTTATACATTTGTTAATTTACCCACTGCCTCATTCAGCCCTCCTATGGGCCTGGCATGTGGCCAAGCACTCTAGAGAGGACAGACTAAGAGGATGTGGTCCATCCCTGCCCTGTGGGGAGCTCAGGTCTGTGAGGAGAGGAAGCTGTGCAACCATGTAGTTTCACTTGGTCTGAGGACTCCTTGTGCCTTGTGAAGGAGGACACAGAGAGTCCCTCGTTGCCTGCTGGCTCAACCCATTGCTTGCCTTTTCCCTCTCTGGACTTAGCTCCTACCTCACAGCCTCCACCCTGTAACCCAGGGTCTAATCAGCCAGGGATTCGAAGAAGTGAGGGGCAGCTCTACTGGGAGGAGGAAAATCCCTGGCTCTTCCAGAGGCTGACTGCCCAATTGCTGTCTCTTGGGTGTGTCAGGTGCAAAGAAGACGGTCATGTGTCGGGATCAGGGGCACAAGGGCCTCAGGCGTGTCAGAACTCCCAAGCACGGAGAGGCTGCAGGTGTGTGCTGGGGTTATAGGTGCTGAGATGCTTTGGGGACATTTAGGGTGGAGCCTCAAATGAGTGATAGGTCCTGGGACACTGAGGGCCAAGGGTGAGCACTGGGGCCGCAGGTGAATTTAGAACAAAAGCCCCAGGTGAGTGATAGGTCCCAGGGCAGTAGGGGATGCAGGTGTGTGCTGGGCCTCAGGTGTATTTAGGGTGCAGTCTCAGGTAAGTGACAGGCCTCGGGGCAGTGGGGGCCATGGCACATGGGATAGTGACAGCCCCCTCCCTGTCTCTACAGGAGACAAGCAGCCCAAGAAACAAGAGAAAAAGCCGGTGACGGTGTCCCCAGAGTTTGTGGATGATGCTCTGTGTGCCTGCGAGGAGCACCTTAACAACGTGGCCCACGTGGACATTGACAAGGACATGGAGGCTCCACTCTACCTGAGCCCTGAGGGCTGGTCCCTCTTCCTCCAGCGCTACTATCAAGTGGTCCAGTGAGTACCTCTGCAGCCCTGGCCATGGGGCATGGCAGGTGCTTCTTGCTCTCGGGCAGCTTCCGTGTTCTGAGCTGATGCTCAGGGACAGACCCTCTCTGTCAAGTGCTGCCCCCATCTCTCTCCAAACCTCCCCGTTTCGTTCACCCCACTATTCTCCTTCTTCAGAACCCCCAAGAGCTCCCACTGCCTTCATAATAGGGTCCAAACTACTCTTCCCAGATCTTGACATAGCATAGTGACCAAGATCATGGCTGTGCTGTCAGACAGACCTGAGTCTGCCTTTGCCGCTTCCAAGCTCTGTGACCTTGGGAACATCACTAATCTTTATGAGTTTTGCTTTTCTCAAATGTAAAATTGGTTTAAAAATAATGTCTGCCTGAAAGGTAGGATTAGACAGGATAATCTGTATGATGTTCTCAGCACTGACTCTTAGTTTTCACTCACAAAGTGAGACTCTATTAAGTCATTTAGATTTTATCCTGCAGGCCAACGTTTCCCAAAGTGTATTACACAGGAGGCTAGTACTACAGGCTGTAAATAGAGTTTATGAAAAAGGGGCTTTTGTGGTCCATCACATTTGGAGGACATTGGGTTAAACAAAGTTAGTTAAAATAGGTTTCCTTGATGCAGGACTCTTCAGAACCTATTGGTGGTGTAAACCTCCAAGAGAGACAGCGTGTGCAGCATATCCTGTACTTAGGTGACCCCAGCCCCCCGCCCCAAGCATCCTGAGCGGTTGCGTTTGCAGAACACACTCCGGGAAAAGGTTCTTGAGCAGAGCAAAGGAGTATTGAGATGGACCTGGAGCTGTTGTAGAGAGACTCCGTTCAACAGAGTGTGTGGGAGAGCCTGGGCGGAGGAGGACCCTGAAGGCAGGAGCACACTCAGCATTTACCAAGCCCCTCCTGTGTGCCAGGAGTTGTGCCAGGCTCCAGAAATGAAACGAAGTCCCTGTCCTCAGGGGCACACAGCAGTAAGCTGGGGGGGGGGTAGTGCCAGGGGCCTCAGCTGGCATGGTGTTAGAATAGAAAGGAACAGACAGATTTAATGATTGATAGGGGAGACTGAAGAACTAATAAATGAACTTTGGACGAATGACTTACCAAGCAAACCCACATCACTGATGAATAACTCATTTGTATCTTTTTTTAAACGTTGGGAAACAAAAGCTAGGTGACCCCATACTTTCCCCTCACCTGCCAGAAAACATGAAGCCACCCTTCTTAAGGATGATCAGGACTGAGTTAGAACAGTAGGTGGGAAGAATGTCAGTCCTCTGCATTTCCGGATGCGGAGCAAGTTGGGGGCTGGAGGAACCTCTCAAAAGTCAGGATTACATAAAATATTACATCATATAACATTGCCTTGAATTGTTCAGTACAGATCATTAGCTTTTATTAATTTATTCAGTATTTACCGCTGCTTCTCAACTTTTTAAAAAACAAATCCATGATGCACCAGCCAGGCTTTTTTTTTTTTCGCCCGCTCCCACCACCAACCAGGCTTTTATCAAGGTTCACTTTCCACAGAAACACTGTTTATTTTTTTGCTAAATATAAAATCATATTGTCATGTTGAATACACTTTTTCAAGTTGCACGTGCCCCTGCCACCACCACGTGACACTTTCCTGGGCCAAACCACAGATTTGCTCAGCAGATTCTTTATGCCATGGCCACAGAAAAGTTTCCAGCAAACCTTGTGGAAATAGAAGAGTCAGGACTTACGTGTGAGTAAGAGGCCTTGCCAAGCCCCCTCCATCTGACTGTCCCCGTTCCTGGCACTGCCCAGCTGCTGCTGCTGCTCCTGCCTTAGCAACAGAGAGACAAGTTCTCCGTGGCTGGAGACATTCAAGAGGCTAAGATGTTAAAGAGACGTTACCATCTAGTGGAGGCTTCCTTCGTATTCATTCAGAAGAAAACAAATGGGAGAGTTTGGATGAGGCTACCATCTGGGGTATTTGGTGACTTGGTTTAGCTGAGGACATTCTGCGTCCTGTAGGGAACAGGTCCCTCTTTGTCCATGAACCCTTATCAGTACAGCCCAGTTGCTGAGGCCAGCTCCCGCCAGAGGACTTACTTATCCAACCAGTCATTCAGTTTACAAACTTTCAGGGAGCGCCTAATAAGTGCTGGGTACTGCTTGGGGTTGGGACTACAACAGAGAATAACAACTACAAAAAATATTCCTGCCCTCATAAAGCTTACGTTCCAGTGAGCGGAGACAGGCAATAACCAAATGGGTCTGGGTGTCAGGTGGTAAGTGATGGGAAGAGAAATAAATCAAGGAGATGTGTCATACAGATGTGCTAGAAAAGAATTAGACTAAGGGGCTTCCCTGGTGGCACAGTGGTTGAGAGTCTGCCTGCCGATGCAGGGGACACGGGGTTCGAGCCCCGGTTGGGGAATATCCCACATGCCGCCGAGCGGCTAGGCCCGTGAGCCATGGCCGCTGGGCCTGCGTGTCCAGAACTTGTGCTCCGCAGCGGGACAGGGCACAGCAGTGAGAGGCCCACGTACCGCAAAAAAAAAAAAAAAAAAAGAATTAGACTAGAAAGGGGCCCACCTATCAACCAGTGTTAGGTTCTGATTAGGAGGGGAATGAACCCCCCCAAAGCACCTGTGGATGGAAGAATTGGGAAGAGTGGAGTTTGCATCCTGCCACTTAACTCAGTGTGTGGCCTTGGGCAAATCCCTCAACTCTCCAACCTTCAGTTTATACTTCTCTAAAATGGGACCAGTAACATCTCCCTGGAGATGGATTAGTGATAATATAGATAAAGCCCTTGGCACAGTGCCTGGCACATAGTGGTGCCTCATCATTTGATGCTGGTATGATTAAATTCTATCAAAGGCAGTTTTAATGTAATAGAAAGGGAGGTGGCAGAAGGTGGAGTGTTGGAGTGAGGGGGGTGCAGTAGGTAGAATGTCCCCATCCTCTCCCATTCCAGCAGTCTGGGACGGTGCCCTGGGCAGGGTGGATTTGGGGGACAGCCTGAGCGTGGGGCTGGAGGTTTGGGAGAGGCCTATCTGGATCTCTAGGGGAAGGGCGTGACCCAAGCTGGTTGGACCATGGCCAGGGAGCTTTTGTCTCCCCTTGCCTTGTTCACCAGGATGCCCCCAGGCCCAGCCCTGCCCAAGTCCCATCATCTCCCCACAGCGAGGGGGCAGAACTCAGGTACCTCGACACTCAGGTCCAGCGCTGTGAGGACATCCTGCAGCAGCTGCGGGCCGTGGTGCCCCAGATGGACATGGAAGGAGATCGCAACATCTGGATCGTGAAGCCGGGAGCCAAGTCCCGTGGACGAGGTGGGGGTCAGCCCCTGCTTCCTGTACCAGCACCCTACACCCTCCCCAGCTAGAGGCCAGGGAAGTTAAATAGTACAGGTTCTGTTGGAGCCAAACTACCTAGGTTCGAATCCCAGCTCTGCTACTTACATGCTGTGTGACCTTGAGCAAGTTATATCACTTCTCTGAACCTCAGTTCCCTTATCTGTTGAGGATTAAACAAGGTAGTACATCTACCACTCAGCATGGTGCCTGGCACAGTAGCCACCCCATCAATGTTGGCTGCTGTGATGATGATGCCAGCACCTCCTCTCCTGCCCTGAGGGTTTAGGTTAGTGCTTTAGGCAGGTCTGGTGATACTCACATGCAGTTGCTTGTCATCTAAGGGCTCTCATATTTGACCAGTGCATCCTTGTGAGGGTGTAGTACAGGGGTCAAGGGTATGGATGCTGGGAGCGAGACTTTCTGGATTCAAACCCCAGCTCTGCCTCCTAATATCCATAAGACCTCGGGCAGGTTAGTTAACCTCTTCTGTGCCTCATTTTCATCGTTGTTAAAATGAAGCCAATAATGCCTACCTGAGAGGATTACATGAGAATCGTATATGGAAAGTGCTTAGATCCTGCGCTTTTACAGAGTACCTGCTATGCAATAACAGCTATTATTATTCTGACTGCTCAGCATGAATGGAATTTGAACAGGGCAGCCAGCAAGCTGGGGTGGTGCATTAGCCCAGCCTTTAAAAGATGGTTAAGGACTTCCAAGATGTAAAAAACAGACTTCTGGCAGCAGATCGCTCCATGTACTGCCTGCCCATGGGTGAATTTGTTCATGTCCAAGTGAAGCTGTCGCAGCTCCACACACTATGGGACACTCCTGTTGGGACGTCTTTTCAAAACCAGCATCATAGTCTTTTCTTTTTCTACCTTGGAAATAGTTTTGTTGGTTTTTTCCAAGTATGAAAATACATATTTGTTATTGTTTTTAAAAAGATCAGACAGTACAGAAAAGTGGAAGGAAGCAAAGGCACCCTTGATTTCCCTGAGATAACTACAATTCACCTTGTGATGTGTTTCTTTCTATACTTTCTTCTATGCATCTGGAGAGAGTGTGCATGTTTTATTTTATTTTAAATAAGAGCATACTATTTGGTAGCTTCCTTTTTTCATTTATTATATCTTTCCATATCAGTGAGTATTACTCATTTATTTTTTGCACCTTTCTTTTTTCTTAACAGTAGATCTTGGAGATCACTGCATTTTAGTACATCTAGATCTGCTTTTCTTCCCCGCCTGTTTTTAGCTTATTATTATAGACACTTTTCAAACATACACAAAAGCAGAGAGAATAATACAGTGAATCCCAAAGTATTTCAACATTTTCTCTCCATTTTTAGAAAAACTTAATTGAAATATGTATATAATATACTTCACTGAAAAGGGTATGCATTGTGAATATACAACTCAGTGAATTGTCACATAGTGAACACACTCGTGGAAACAGCACCCACATCATGAAATACAGCACCCTAGAGGGCCCCCTCCCATGCCATCTCCAGGTCTCTACCTCCCTGCAATGGGAACCCCTATGCTGACTTATAACACCATAGATTAGTGTTGCCTGTTTTTGAATTTTATATAAAAGTACAGTAGGTGCTTTCTTACCTCATTCTGTTTTACAGCTGCATAGTCTAATCTTGTTTAGATGTACTCTCGTGGTCTTACCTAATCCTTTTCTGATGGATATTTAGATGGCCACCATTTTTTTTTTCCTGTTTATTTGATTATTGATTGATGAATTGCTATTAACAAGCAACACTGTGATGAATATCCTGTGCAGATATCTTAGTAGCCTTTCCATTTATTTCCTTAGGATAAATTCCTAAAAGTGAAATTGCTGGGTCAGAGGTCATGAACAGCCTCAATCTTTGGCTATACAAGGCGTCACGTTATTGGGAATCTTAGTGATCATTCTGGCCATTTGAGAAAGGATCTGGCTTGGGAACCTGGCACAAGTTATTCTGTGCCATTGGCGGGCAATCAGACTGTTTGAGGGGCCAAACAATGAGGAAATGAGATTGATTTGTGTGTTTGTTTGCCTTGTGATTCTTACTGTAGACCCTTGAACAACGTGGGTTTGAACTGCGTGGGTCCACATATATGCGGATTTCTTTCGCTGTATACATACTTCAGTACTACATGATCTGTTGTTGGTTGAATCCGTGGATGCGGAACCCCAGATACAGGGGACCTACTGTAAAGTTATACGAGAATTTTTGACTGCTCGGAGGGTTGGCGCTCCTAATCCCCGTGTTGTTCAAGGGTCAACTGTATATATCAGCATTAAAATAATACCTTTTTAGCCTAAGATACTTAACTTCACTCGTTATAAAACAGATAAAATTAAAATATCATTCTACCTAAGAGAATGGCAAAAATAAATCATCAACAGTGTTGATAGAATGTGGGCAAACACACAATCTCATACACTCTTACTGGGAGTGCAGATTGGTAGAACATCTTTGTTCTATAAAGTGAAAAAATGCACATACCCTTTGAGCCAGCAAATCTATAGCTAGAGATGTTTTCCACAGGTAACTAGTAATAATGATACGAGTTAACATTTACTGAATGCTCACCAAGTGCCAAGCAGTGTTCCAATTCCTTAGCATGTTTAAGTGCATAGAATCCTATGAAACTGAGGCGCACACAACTCTTCCATAACCTGGGAGCCTATCCATAGGACCTGGAAGCAGCACTTGGCTGCCTCTGGGGAAGGAGATGTATTTTTTTTCATTGTATACCCTTTTGTACTGCCTACTTTTCACTTCTGTTGTTTTTTATATTCCATTAGTTATTGTGAAAAACTAATCAAAGCCATTTATGCACATGGTTTTTAAAAAAGCCCAATACTGTTTGAATTGTTATCCATGCATATATTCTTTTTCATCAAATAAAACTGGTTAATTTTTTTTTAAACTTTAAATCCTTAGCAGATTCTTAGCTTTCCCAAAGGGAACAGGGAGAAGGGGGCAGGCTCACCCATTTGGGCCTATCAGTCCTTTGGGTATGAGAGCTTATGATGAGCTGTCCATGGTCCCCTGACCCATCTCCCAGCCCAAGCCTGGCCTGATCCCTGACCACCCTGTTTCCCCCGAAGGCATCATGTGCATGGACCACCTGGAGGAGATGCTGAAGCTGGTGGACGGCAATCCCATGATGATGAAGGACGGCAAGTGGGTGGTGCAGAAGTATATCGAGCAGCCCCTGCTCATCTTTGGCACCAAGTTTGATCTGAGACAGTGGTTCCTGGTGACCGACTGGAACCCGCTTACTGTGTGGTTCTACCGCGACAGCTACATCCGCTTCTCTACACAGCCCTTCTCCTTGAAGAACCTGGACAAGTGAGCCTCCCCCAGAACCTCACTCCCATGAGCTCCCAGTCTAGCTGGGGAGCTGGCAGGAAGCAGCGATTCCAAGGCAATGCGGGGCTCCAAACACACTCTGCAGGCAGGCAGGCCTCTATCCATCCAACCACCTGTGTGTACCCTGTGCCGTTCAGTGTTCTAGGCACGTGGGACACAGCAGTGAACAAAACGAGCCCAGCCCTCAAGAGTTCATATTCCAACAGGGAGAAACAGACAAGCCATGAACATAATCAGTAAAATCATCTAATGGGTTAAAAGTGATATGTGTTATGGAAGAAAGGATGTAGAGCGGGGTAAAGGGGGATCAGGAGAAATGTGAGAGGAGAGAGGCAGGTTGCAGCGTTCATTTCGGGGGAGAGGAAGCCTGTTGAGCCCTCGGTTCAAATTCCATCTCTGAAGCTTCCAAGCTCTGTGACTTGGGTCAGGTGAAAACCTATCAGTATTTAAGCTTCCGTTGCCACATCTGAAGAATGGAGGAAGTAATATGGAGCTCATAGCTGTCGGCTACTGAGTGCTCTGTATGTGACGATTGCTAAGCACTTCATGTATGTTATCTCAGTCCTCCATGAAAACCCGGTGAAGTGGTACTGTTACTTACCCCCATTTTACAGATGTTGAAAGGAGCCCATGGGTTAAATGACTTATGTAAGGTCTTACCAGTCAGCGATGAAGATAGAACTTGAACACGTGTCTTGGTGACCATGGGGCCCGTACTCTTAACCACCTTCTTATCTTCCAGGCACTGGGAGGGTTAACTGACACTGTCACAAAGCACTTAACACTGTGGCCCCTGTAGTTAGTGCCCTCAGAGAGGTCCTGAGTGAAGACTGGTAGTGGCCCTAGAAGAAAGTGATGAGGCCTTTGTCACCTCAAGCTGAATGGTCCAGAGTGTGCCGGGCTGGTTCCGGGGTTTGCCTGCCCTCCCCACGTTTGGGTGGGAGGGGCACAGGGAGCCAGCCCTCAGCTTTCTGCTCTCTGTCCCAGCTCCGTGCACCTGTGCAACAACTCCATCCAGAAGCACCTGGAGAATTCGTGCCACCGACACCCACTGCTGCCCTCAGATAACATGTGGTCAAGCCAGAAGTTCCAGGCCCACCTGCAGGAGATGGGGGCCCCGAACGCCTGGTCCACCATCATCGTGCCTGGCATGAAGGCTGCGGTGATCCACGCCCTGCAGACCTCCCAGGACACCGTGCAGTGTCGGAAGGCCAGCTTCGAGCTCTATGGCGCCGACTTTGTGTTCGGTGAGGACTTCCAGCCCTGGCTGATCGAGATCAACGCCAGCCCCACCATGGCACCCTCCACGGCTGTCACTGCCCGGCTCTGTGCCGGCGTACAGGCCGACACCCTGCGTGTGGTCATCGACCAGCGGCTGGACCGCAGCTGTGACACAGGGGCCTTTGAGCTCATCTACAAACAGGTGGGGTGGCCAGGCCCAGGCAGCACCCAGGGAGGCCTTCCCATAGTGGAGCTCAGGGCTTTGTGGTCACATAAACCCGGCTCAAGTCCTGGTCCTGCCACAGTGACTGGGTACAGCCACTTCACCCCCTTGAGCCTCCATTTCCCCATCTGTAAGATGGACATGCTATAACCATCTTTCTCCTGGGGTTTGGGAGATGAAATGAGTTCACGTGTGGATAATATTTCTAGAGAGGCCAGTAGCATAGTGTTAAAAGCATAGACTCTGAAACCTCCCTGGGTTCAAATCCTGGCTCAAATTCCTAACCTCTAGGGGTCTCAGCCTCCTTATTTGTAGAGCGGGAATGAAAATGGTACCTACGTCATAAGATTGTGAAATTTAAATGAGCTGATACAGGTAAAGCATTTTAGAGGTGCCTGGCACGTAGTAAATGCTACAGAGGTTTTAGCTATTGTTAGTACCTAGTAAGGTTGTTAGGTGTTTTATGATAAATGCCATCACTGTAAAGTGCCTCACATATAGTAAGAGCCAATTTGAGGAGGCTGCTATTATTATTATGTTATTATTGTTGTTGTTTTTATTATTATTTATTTTACCTTGTTCCAAAAAGAGGTTTGAATCCACTTATTGGAATAAGATTTTTAAAAGTCAGAAAACTGACTTCACGGGTTTCTGAACGCTGCAAGTAATTTCCTGTGGTTATTAAATTAAGTATCCTAAACCTTCTGATGAGGATTAGGCTGCCATCAAAGTTTGGCCACAGGGAGAGAATGTGCTGATCGTATAACACAAGTGTCCTGGTCTTTGTCAGTTACTGATTGTATCTTAAATTAATATATTGGCATTTTGGCTTCAAAAAATGTAAATGAGGAAACATAAGGGCAGGAAAATATGGGCAGATGAAGCAAAGGGGAAGGGAAAGTTTTAACTTAGTGGTTCCCAAATGCTGATCACAGGCCACAATCTCCTGGAAAGTTTTCCAAAGGTACCGTTGTCAGGAAGCCCCACCCCCAGAGGTTGACCGGAAATGACTGGTTTAGGGACTATGCATCTGTACTTTTCAAATATCCTAGTTATTCCCAAAATCTCTTATAGCCAAGTCTTTTGGTTTTGGTTTGTAAACCAACATGTGATCAAGATTCACGCTTTGCATTGGTTGTTTTGTCTCTTTCATTTCCTTTCTTTGCTTTTTTTTTTTTTTTTTTTAATAGGTACTCCCACTCAGAAAGGAGAGGCAGGGTGGGAAGTACATAGGAATCATTAGTCCATAGCAATTGTGAAACCCACCCTGGCACTTAATTCTCCTTTTGCTCTTAGGATCCATTATTACTTTCTAGGAGTTCCCTGTGTCTCTTGCTTCCATCCATTGGGAAGTCAGTTCAGCCTTGAGTCATCCTCCCTCTTCTGTGATCATGCTCGGTAGTTCTTAGTCTGTTACCTGCTCAAAGAATTTTGGGGGTACAGAAGCCTCTTTCATTTCATATTGCATCTGTCCCTCTCAGTCCAAGTTGATATTTTTAAAAGCCTTGTGGTTTTCTTGTATATCAATTATAACCCATTTTATTACACAAAGGCCATGTCCACAGATCTTAGAGATAAACTCTTCTCTCTTCTATGAGGCTGATGCAGGACAACAGCCCTCAAAATTATAGAAGCCCTACTGTTATCAGAGAGGGCCTGCAACCCTGTCTTTTAACTCAAAATGTGTTAAAGACTTAATCATAAGACCTACAGGTATACACTTGGGATGTTGAAAAGACCTGTAGCTGCTTTAAAGGACCTATTAGGCATGGCTTAGACTTCTCTGAAGTTTTCTTTGTTTTGTTTTGTTTTTAGATATCATTGACATACAACATGGTTAGTTTCAGATGTACAACATAATATTTGTATATATTGTGAAATGATCACCACAGTAAGCCTAGGTAACATCTATCACCACAGTTACAATTTTTTTTTCCTTGCATTTACTTTCTCAGCAACTTTCAAGTATACAATACAGCATTATTAACTATAGTCACCATTCTGTACCTTACATGACTTATTTATTTTGTAACTGAAAGTTTGTAACTTTTTATCCCCTTCACCCACTTTGCCCACCCACCAACTGTCAGTTCTCTGTATCAGTGAGTTCAGTTTGTTTTTGATTTTAGATTCCACATATAATTGAAATTATATGGTGTTTGTCTTTCTCTGTCTGACTTATTTCACTTAGCATAATGCCCTCAAGGTCTATCCACATTGCCACAAATGGCAAGATTTTCTTCTTTTTATTTATTTATTTATTTTGGCCACGCCATGCTGCATGTGGGATCTTAGTTCCCTGACCAGGGATCGAACCCATGCCCCCTTGCAATGGTAGCACAGAGCCTTAAACCACTGGACCACCAGGGAAGTCCTGAGATTTTCTTCTTTTCAGTGGCTGAGTAATATTCCGTTGTATATTTATATATACCACATTTTCTTTGTCTACTCATCCATGAGTGGATGCTTACGTTGCTTCCATGTGTTGGTTATTGTAAATAATGCTGCCATGAACATGGGCTTGCAGATATCTTTTCAAGTTAGTGTTTTCATTTCCTTCAGGTAAACACCCAGAAGTGGAATTCTGGATCATATGGTAGTTTTATGTTTAACTTTTCGAGAAATCTCCATACTGTTTTCCATAGTGCCTGTAGCGATTTACATTCCCACCAACCATGCACAAGGGTTCCCTTTTCTTTACATCCTCGTCAACACTTGTAATTTTTTGTCTTTCGGATGATAGCCATTCTAACAGGTGTAAGATGATCTCTCACTGTGGCTTTGATTTGCATTTCCCTGAGGATTAGTAATGTTGAGCACCTTTTCATGTACCTGTTGGCCATCTGTATGTCTTCTTCTAAAAAATGTCTATTCAGATCCTCTGCCCATTTTCTAATCAGATTGTCTTCATATATTTTGGGGACTTCCCTTATGGTCCAGTGGATAAGACTCCGTGCTTCCACCGCAGGGGGCGTGGGTTAGATGCCTGGTCGGGGAACTAAGAACCCGCATGCCACATAGTGCAGCCCAAAAAAAAAAAAAAAAAAAAGATTGTGTTTGTGTGTTTGGATATAAACCTCTTACAAATGATTTACAAACATTTTCTCCCATTTGGTAGGTTGTTTGTTTTTTATTTTATTTTATTTTATTTATTTTTTTATACAGCAGATTCTTATTAGTTATCCATTTTATACATGTTAGTGTATACATGTCAATCCCAATCTCCCAGTTCATCCCACCACCACCACCACCCTGCCACCGCTTCCCCCTCTTGGTGTCCATACGTTTGTCCTCTACATCTCCATCTCAATTTCTGCCCTGCAAACCAGTTCATCTGTACCATTTTTCTAGGTTCCACATATATGTGTTAATATACGATATTTGTTTTTCTCTTTCTGATTTATCTCACTCTGTATGACAGTCTCTAGATCCATCTACGTCTCTACAAATGACCCAATTTCATTCCTTTTCATGGCTGAGTACTATTCCATTGTATATATGTACCACATCTTCTTTATCCATTCGTCTGTCAATGGGCATTTAGGTTGCTTCCATGACCTGGCTATTGTAAATAGTGCTGCAGTGAACACTGGGGTGCATGTGTCTTTTTGAATTATGGTTTTCTCTGGGTATATGCCCAGTAGTGGGATTGCTGGGTCGTATGGTAGTTCTATTTTTAGTTTTTTAGGGAACCTCCATACTGTTCTCCATAGTGGCTGTATCAATTTACATTCCCACCAACAGTGCAAGAAGGTTCCCTTTTCTCCACACCCTCTCCAGCGTTTGTTGTTTGTAGATTTTCTGATGATGCCCATTCTAACTGGTGTGAGGTGATAACCTCATTGTAGTTTTGATTTGCATTTCTCTAATAATTAGTGATGTTGAGCATGTTTTCACATGCTTCTTGGCCATCCGTATGTCTTCCTTAGAGAAATGTCTATTTAGGTCTTCTGCCCATTTTTGGATTGGGTTTTTCATTTTTTTAATATTGAGCTGCATGAGTTGTTTTTATATTTTGGAGATTAATCCTTTGTCCGTTGATTTGTTTGCAAATGTTTTCTCCCGTTCTGAGGGTTGTCTTTTCGTCTTGTTTGTAGTTTCCTTTGCTGTGCAAAAGCTTTCAAGTTTCATTAGGTCCCATTTGTTTAATTGTGCTTTTATTTCCATTACTCTAGGAGGTGAATCAAAAAAGATCTTGCTGTGATTTATGTCAAAGAGTGTCCTTCCTATGTTTTCCTCTAAGAGTTTTATAGTGTCCAGTCTTACACTTAGGTCTCTAATCCATTTTGAGTTTATTTTTCTGTATGGTGTTAGGGAGTGTTCTAATTTCATTCTTTTACATGTAGCTGTCCAGTTTTCTCAACACCACTTATTGAAGAGACTGTCTTTTCTCCATTGTATATCCTTGCCTCCTTTGTAATAGATTAGTTGACCATAGGTGCGTTGGTTTATCTCTGGGCTTTCTGTCCTGTTGCATTGATCTGTATTTCTGTTTTTGTGCCAGTACCATATTGTCTTGATTACTGTAGCTATGTAGTATAGTCTGAAGCCGGGGAGTCTGATTCCTCCAGCTCTGTATTTTTCCCTCAAGACTGCTTTGGCTATTCGGGGTCTTTTGTGTCTCCATACAAATTTTAAGATTTTTTGTTCTAGTTCTGTAAAAAATGCCATTGGCAGTTTGATAGAGATTGCATTGAATCTGTAGATTGCTTTGGGTAGTATAGTCATTTTCACAATATTGATTCTTCCAATCCAAGAACATGGTATATCTCTCCATCTGTTTGTATCATTTTGAATTTCTTTCATCAGTGTCTTATAGTTTTCTGCATACAGGTCTTTTGTCTCCCTAGGTAGGTTTATTCCTAGGTATTTTATTCTTTTTGTTGCAGTGGTCAATGGGAGTGTTTCCTTAATTTCTCTTTCAGATTTTTCATCATTAGTTTATAGGAATACAAGATATTTCTGTGCATTAATTTTGT